AAATAAAAGACTTCGTTACCACAAAACTTATAAACTAATAAAAACCCCAGAATCCAACAATTAAACAATACACATTCAAAAATGGACAACGTAATAAATCACTTAAAGAATATCAAAAAATTGGAAAACTAAATAGTATAAAAGGAAACACCCAAATCCTTAACAACTGGGACCCATCATACAGGCACAGGGTTTCTCCTACCATTGCTATGCTGATGACACACAGCTCTATCTCTCATTTCAACCAGATGATCCAACGGTAGCTGCACGGATCTCAGGCTGCCTGGCGGACATCTCGGCATGGATGAAAGAACATCACCTACAGCTCAAACTGGCAAAGACTGACCTTCTTGTCTTCCCGGCCACTCCAAATCTACAGCAAGACTTCACTGTCCAGTTAGGTTCATCAACAATTACCCCATCATATTCGGTCAGAAATCTTTAAATGAGTTAAACATCATCATTTGTGTTCTACTGAAGAAACAAAGTCACCTACATCTTGGATGCCCTGGGGGTAAGCAGATAAACATCACACTTTCATTTTTGGGTGAAATATCCCTTTAAGCAAAACACGTGCTGGCGTCCATCTCTTCTGTAGACTAAAGAAGAAGGCATCTATACCTAGGGCTGGGCGATATGGGCAAAAATTCATATCTCTGTATTTTTTGGCAGATTTGTGATACACGGTATATATCTCGGTATTTTCATTTTTGTATATTTTTTTTAAAATCTGTATTTAATATATATTTCACTTACCGCCCAATGTTGTCCGACAAAACAATACATATTAAAGGCTATGAAAACAAATAAAGTGAATGTAACCATGTAAGCCTTTATATTATGTGCAAAAAAGGGTTAAAATCACATTTCATTGTAACATTGCAATCTAAAAACAAAAATAAGGCTTGTAAAGCAGAAGTTACATTCACTAAACTAAAAATGAAAATAAATGAGAACAAAAGCACAGAGTTGTGTTAGGACAACGTAATAAATCACTTAAAGAATATCAAAAAATTGGAAAACTAAATAGTATACAACTACAAATATTTTAGCGAAATGTATATTTTAGTCAGATCTATTGCGCTCCTATTTAATTGAACTCTGTCTGTTTGGCGTATATGAGCGCGGCGGCGCTCGTTCACTAAAGTCTGTGAAGTTTAGAGGAGAATCCCAAAGCAGAAGGCTCATGCAGAAAAAAATTGAAATATTTCCATGGTTTTCTAACATTTACAGATGGAGAATACACCTGTGAAATGTAAGTTATGCATTCAGGAAGACAGCACATCTCAAACACATTAAACAGCGGAAGTAGCCTATGTCTCTGTCAGCGGGACATGCAGCCTTTCTGTCCAAGCATCTGGCGGGCCGAGCCGCTTAAACTAATATGCGAATTATAAACTATGTCTTACCAGTTTTTAAAGGCCTTAATATGAAGCTTGTCACATGTTTAGAACAAATTGGATTATGCACTTTATCCGCAGCAGCTCAGTCTGTGTCCTCCGCTTTATTTTCAGATGCGCTGGTATCAAACTACTGTATATCGATATAAATGGTATTGCCTCATCGAATCGCTTATAAAGAAAATATCAATATATCGTACAAGCCCTATCTATACCTTCTTCTTTCTATGGAAGTCTGACTAGTCAGAATTAGGAGATCATTTCTCCAGCCTTCGCATTCCAATCATCCACCTTACTCAACACCTTATTTCTGGGGTGTCAGCTCTACTTCTCAATTGAATGATTCAGAGATACGTTTCTGTTTCCATTATTCTTTTTGTAACCTCTGTGACCCCAGAGTGAACCTCAATAATCTTAACACTAGTTGACTTTTCCAGTGGTTTAAATGCATTCGCCATTACTAGGATTTTTATCAACAGGCTCACTTGCCTCCATCTTCCTCCCATATCTTGTGCTGCTCTCTGGGTCTGAGGGCACATTTAGCATTTCATTATCCAATTTCCCATGACTTTTAATTATTTTAGACTGCAGTATCGCATTGTCTATTATACCGATCTGTTCAGTTTTAAATTATACTTGTCAGTGGGCTTTGTTAAAGATTAATTCACACTCAATGCAGGGGAGACAAAAAAAGTCACAACTTTAAGCCAATGTCGTAATCAGAGAAGCAGCGCTCACTTCATTTCAGTTTTGATCAATTGTGCAGCCTCAAATTATTTTAATTTTACATGTGATTTCATTTATATTATATTAAAGTATAAGCAAGGATCAAATGACATCTCACTCCTCCCAAAGAACATCTGGTGGTCAAACAATCTCTTCTGCAATGAAATGTATTTTGCATTAGTGAAAACATTTACTTTTGGTTTAATAATAATAATGATTATTATTGTTATTATAAAAAAATTTTTATATGACAAACAGCACAATTGATTTTTAATCACATTACATATATGACATGACTGTTGCTGTCAGAAACTCAGAAGCAAAGACCAGGAGGCTGTGTATCTATAGCAGGATTCTTTATTAAGAATGTGCTGTTGATTGCTGCAGTCATCAGTTCTAACCAGGGATCTGTACATTGTACCATATTGGCCCGAATATAAGACGACGCCCCCCCCCCCCCTTTGCCAGATGTACCTTTTGGAAAAAGGCTTTTTAAAAACCAAATCTTGTTTTTTCTCAGTAAAACACATTTTGTCTTCAATTATTTTCATATTGCATATTTTTCCTATTTTCATTTTTGTTTTGAAAGTATGGTAAAAACTGGTCAAATGTACCAACAAACACATTTTTAAAATATACACTTTTTGATATACCATTAAAAATTAAAACAGGTAGCCCATCTGAATTAGGACATTTAGGCTATCCATCTAATAGTAGCCTACCAAAATCTTATTAACAGTAGAAGTTAAATCTTATGCCGAGTTTACATTGCACGATTTTAGCCCAATTTTTCACTCGCCGACAGGTTTTGCGAAATCACCGACAAATGCCCGACATCGGAGGCAAATCGGTGCTCGTTAACGCGAGTGACAATCACATAAGTGTGAATTATCAAAGACGCGATCTGAGGGAATCGCCGACATGTCGCCGACGCCCGCTAAATATCTGGAGCTGTTGGCGATTCACAATCACGCTGTGTGCAAGGATTCTGACTGAAAAACTCATCGGCGATGATCTACAGCCAATGAGAGACCAAGATACAGGGCAGAGGGAAGTTCGGGGAGGAGTTATAGACCAGAATATCAGTATTTTAATAGATATATGAACAATTATATCATACAGAAACAAGCACAAACATTTGCTGTTAAAATGGAAACTTTTAAAAGTTGTTTTCATTCATAAAAATTAAATGTTATTATTAGATGATAAACTTTAACTTAATAAACAAATGAAAATGTGCTTTGGTAACTAATTGAAATGCAAAAATAATAATGCAATAATTTAACAAATAAAATAAAAAAGAAAAAAAAAAAAACATTTGCTCCCCCAGCCACAACATCAGCATAACAGTTACCGCAAAATTATTTACCTCCAACTCTCTGCAGAACACCCAATCCCTGTTCCCTGCATAATCTGTTTCTCTTTTTCTCCTTGTAGCTGGAAACCAGCTCACAGACAATTTGCAGGCTATATATATATATATGTTTTTAATAATTACAGTCTTGCTGGAGAACTCCGGTCTGACGCACGCGGGTTCTCGCGTTATTTCCTTATCACTTCTCGCGTGTTTTGTTGTGAAACGTAGTTTGCGGACCAGACAGAGTTGTCGGCGATTCTTCCTATTGTGAAGTCATGCAGTGACCTCCTGTCGCCGATCCATCGTGCAGTGTGAACACAGCAGCGACTGACTGCTACCCCAGATAGTCACGCAGTGTGAAAACAACGGCGATCCGACGAGTTTGAAAATCGTGCAGTGTGAACTCGGCATTACTGTAGTCTTCAAATCTGGGTACTGTCTTACGTTTTAAAATCACAAAGGGAGTTTGCTCCCATCAGGCTAATGTGACAGTCACGACTCATGCAGCTGTAAGATTTTCTTTTTCTTTAGTTTTTACTCATGATCTTTACAACAAGCATTACATTACGTATTTCATGGCACACTCGTTTTATGCGTATTTGGCGCCACCTATTGTTGTGGGTGTATTATTGACATGTCAAAGTCTAGAACTTAAAAATAAGACGACCGTGTTTTTTCAGATGTATTTCCAAGAAAAAAAAATCCCTCTTATATTCGGGTCAATACGGTAGTTTTATATACATTTAAAGGACCGTGCTTAGAGATAGAGACAAAGCAACTGGGAGACGACCTTAAAGTGTGCAAATGAACTATGCAGGTATAAGAATTTGACCTGTCCAAATCCAATCAGCATAATTATTCAAAGAAAGGGACAGGGGCACCAAGAGTCATTAAAAACAAAAGGTGAGAGTCAGTAATCCAGCTCATTTGACTTACAATAAAGAGAACAGGAACTGTCAGAAACTTCTTGCTACAAACTTTCTTTAACAATCATTCAGCTGATGTTATCATCTTTACCTTAAATGCTAAATACAATGTACTTCACCATTATTTTTCATATGCTATGTCAGGATGTAGAATCAGCAGATCCTATACAGATTCTTAAATTTCCAATCCTATCATGAAATTAAATTTCAAATATACAAGCGGCTACATTCTTTGAAGAAATTAACAATGCAGATCATTATTTGCGACATTGGAATAGATTGTTCACTTTTCATATGCTGCCTTATGGTATAAAGGATGAGACAGTTGGTCAAAAGGCACCCATAACACCACTAGTAATGGCATCACTAGTGCTAAACGAAAAAATGTCCATCAGTTCACCCACCACTCCTATGATCCGTCCACCTTCCAGCCTGGAACTCAGCAGATGAGCAAAACACAATTATCAGATTAAATATTAGATTCCTGAGGGAGGAAAACTTTAATCCATAACTTATGCACATCAGCCTCACCAAAGGTGAAAAAGAAAAAAAAAAAGCAGAAAATCCATTTAGCCCATATTCACTTGCGGTGTGAAAGTAGCTTTGATTTAACAGACATGCATGTTTTCTGGTGCCATTTTAAACTGCTGAGCCATTTAAAACTCTTTCTACAGAACGAACAAGAATAGGGTCTCACATTTGCATGACTTTTCAGGTGTATCTGTAAGTGTGATGGCAAAATAAATTTATCACACTGATCAAAATGAATTCGCTTTTTTCCAGAGTAAAAACGGAGATGATTTTTGAAATTGCTCCTCTTAGTAAACTTGTCACACACTGAATGTTGTAGTTTCTTTTCAGAATGAGTTTGCAAATGACATTTCATCTCTCTAAGATACGTGAAACTCTTCTTACATTTAAGACACTTGTAAGGCTTCTCTCCGGTGTGAAGTCTCATGTGAACCTCACGGTTTCCTTTGAGTGCGAAACGCTTTCCACACCGAGGGCAGGTGAAAGGCTTCTCTCCAGTGTGAACTCTTATGTGAATCTCAAGGTTTGTTTTGTTTTTGCAAGTCTTTCCACAGTGATGGCACATGAAAGGCTTCTCTCCCAAATGAATCTTTACATGATTCTTGAGATTCTTCTTGTCTGTGAAACTCCTTCCACACTGATGACATACAAAACGGTTCTCTCTTGTGTGAATTCTCATGTGGTGACAAAGAGTTACTGTAAATCTGAAACACTTTCCACACTGAGCGCACACAAACGGCTTCTCTCCAGTGTGAATTCTCATGTGGGCATTAAGGGTTCCTTTATGTTTAAAACTTGTTCCACATTGCGAGCATGTGAAAGGCTTCTCTCCAGTGTGAACTCTCACGTGGCTTTTAAGACTTGCTTTTCGAATGAAATTTTTTCCACAGTCTTGGCAGGTAAAAGGGTTTTCTCCAGTGTGAATTCTCATGTGGACTTTAAGGCTTCCTTTCTGAGTGAAGCTTTTTCCACACTGTTGGCAGGAGAATGGGGTTTCTCTTGTGTGAACTCTCATGTGGACTGTCAGGTTTCCTTTTCTATTGAAACTTTTTCCACACTGTTGGCAGGTGTAAGGGTTCTCTCCAGTGTGAACTCTCATATGGACTTTAACACTTGCTTTTTGACTGAAACTCTTTCCACACTGCTGGCATGTATAAGGCTTCTCTCCAGTGTGAACTCTCATGTGGACTGTAAGGTTTCTATTTTGATTAAAAATCTTTCCACACTGTTGGCAGGTGTAATTACCTCTAGTCGCTGTCTTTTTAGCTTTTTTTCTTGACAAAGTCTTTTCAGTCTCAGAGCAATTAAAAACGTTTTCTTCAGTCATGAAATCACGTTTCTCATCTTTATCTTCTTTTTCATTCAGCTCTTGATTCTCCTCTTTCAGCGCCATCAGGCCTAAGATGAAAAAAAAACTACATCAAATAACCTGTTTAATGGCACAAAGCAATAGACATCAAAACAATTTGACATGTAAAGCTTCAAAAGCAACAAAATGCATGCTAAATCCTATTCACACTAAACCACTCCCAGAACTTCTCCATATCGTGAACTCTAAGCTTTCTTTAGGACATGCCCTACGTACTTTCAAGCTAACAATTACCATAGCCATTATAAAAATAAAATAAAAAAAACTGAAGAACAGGCTGTATTCTCCAATAATTTTATTTTATCTTATTATGATAAGTTGCTTCTGGATTTCTGCATTAGGAGCATTTAGCCTTAAGATTTGTTGTGAATGCGCTGTAGACCGATCTCAGAGCTACCATTTATATCCAAAACATTAGAAAAATTGTGTTTTCTCAACAAGAGAAATGGAGAATTGTGAAGTATTTCAGGATTTAAGTCACAATGTAGCACAGAATCTGTGATTATAAAAGTTACAAGTATTCTTTAGACAACATAGACTATGACATTCTCTTGGATAGCTTGAGAATTATTTTGCTATTGGTGGACAAGCATTAGCACATTCAGGTCCTAGCTATCCTATCCAAAGTTGTGTCTGATGGGGTGTCTCTTCACACAAACAGATGTAGAGTGCCACAGGGCTCGGTATCAGGTCTTTTGTTTTTCTTTTTGTAAATGTTTACTATTAGAGATACTGTTGTAGGGGCTTTGCTTTTTGAGCCCCAATATCCTACAGAATCACCACATTCCAGAAGAATCTAAAGATTCCCCATCCCAAACCATCTGAGGACATAAAATTAATCAACGACCAACAACAATGCCTCCTTGTCTGGGGAACACTCTGCGTTATCTTCTTAAGAGATAAATAAACCAGTGATAAACTCAATCAACAGGAGAGAGAACTCCCTCCATCTGGAACGACTTAAAGGGTTAGTTCACCCACAAATGAAAATTAGCCCATAAATTACTCACCCTCAAGTCATCCTAGGTGTATATGACTTTGTTCTTTCAGACAAATCCAGTCGGAGTTATATAAAAAAATTTCTTTGATCTTTCAAGCCGTTTCATTGCACTCAGCGGGTGTTGCATGCATCAGTCCAAAAGCACTTAATTAAAAAGCGCCCATCCATAAAAAAAAGTGTCTCATACGGCTCCGGGGGGTGAACAAAGGCCTCCTGTAGCGAATCGATGCGTTTTTGTAAGAAAAATATCCATATTCAAAACGTAATAATCACTTTAATCTAGCTTGCGCTCACTGTTGTACACTGGAAGCAGCTCCGGGGGAATTACGTATGAGGTCAGCTTTGTGCATACGCCGCTCAGAAGAGACGAACGTGGAAACACAGGGGAGAGATCAAAACAAAACAACGGTCACTAATTAGAAGTACAAAACGAGAATTTGTAAAGAAGAATGTCGGAGGATTTCGATATAAGCCAAGAGGAGACTGGTTTTCCTTTGCTAAAGTAAGGAAACTTTGCTTCCTTTGCTCCTGTTAACATACGTTGGTTTTCACGAGACTCACCGGCGCATGCACAGCACCAACCTCATATACGTCATGCTCCCGGAACTGCTTCTGTGTACAACTGCTGGCGCAAGCTAGATTCAAGTGATTATTACGTTTTGAATATGGATATTTTTCTTACAAAAACGCATCGATTCGCTACAGAAGGCCTTTGTT